CAATCCATTTCTCATGGAAACCAAACTTACACAACACATTTTCACTGAAATTCCATTCAATCCTATCATGGGCTTTTTCCATGTCAATTTTGCAGGCCATCATCCCAGAGCCTCCTTTTTTCTTCTCATGGTATGTATCATTTCATGAGCAATCAAAATACTGCCAGTGATTTGTCTGTTGGGAATAAAAGCACTCTGGAAAGGGGAAATGATGTTATCCAAATATGGCTTGATTCTATTTACAAGAATTTTTGAGATAATCTTATAAATTACATTACACAAACTGATTGGTCTAAAATTGTTAACAACTTCAGGGTTCTTACTTTTTGGAATAAGAGCAATAAAAGTTTTATTTAGAACCCCTAGGCATTTTTCCCGAGTGGAAGAAAGCTCTTACTACATTACAAACATCTTCTTTTACAACTTCCCAATATTTTTTAAAAAATAAGGCATTTAAACCATCCGAGCTAGGGGCTTTTAGGTCCTTTATGGTCATGAGAGCTTCCCATATTTCTTGATAGGACACCCCCTGCTAATAATTTCATTCTGATCCAAGGATATTTGATTGCTCAAAACACTAATAAATTCATTGATACCTCTAGTTCCTTCAGATTTGAATCTTTGATCATAGACTTTGCAAAAAATTTCTTGGATGCCTTTAGTGTCATGAACCTAGATTCACTCTTGATTTCTTATTCCAACGATTCAGTTTTTTGACCTTCTCTTTGTGGTCATAATGTGAAAAAACTTTGAATTCCTGTCTCCCATTTTTATCCAATCAATACGGGCTTTTTGGATCCAATACGTTTCTTCACACTCCAAAATTTTCTCAAGCTGAATTTGAAGGCCCCTTTCGAGATTTGCTAGGCTTCTATTATCTGGTTCATCTACCAACTGAGTTTGAACTGTTTTCAATCTCTTGGTGATCTCTTGTTTCTTTTGAAAATATCCCCAAATTTTTTTTTTTTGTTCCTATCTTTTATTTTCTGGACCAGAAAATTTCTTTTCTTTACAAACTGCATTGCTCTCGATCCTCTAGTATTCAGGTTCCAAGAATTTTTTTACTACTTCATTTAAACTAGGCTCCAAAGACCACATTGCTTCGAATCTGATGGGCTTTGGACCTCCAAAGGAAGAAAACTCAATGGATAGTAACAATGGCGAGTGATCAGAGGAGAGAATTGGGAGATTATAAAGACATGATTGGGGAAACAAGTTCATCCACTCTATATTGGTGAAAGCCCAGTCCAACCTTTCCCATACAGTTTTATTTTTCCAAGTAAACTGAAGACCTTTCAGCTCTAATTCTATGAAATTGCAATTGGAAATAAAATTATTAAAATCCTTATTTTGGCTGGGACGGCCTCTTTTGTCTTTGGCAGATTTAAAAGCATTAAAATCTCCTATCACACACGAAGCATTGTTAACATTTTCCGCAATGTCAGTAAGCCAATCCCAAACAATGCGTTGTTCCATCTTATTTTGGGGGGGTGGGGCATAAATAAAAGTGCAAAACCAGAAATTTTTTATGCTAATTCATTAATACTAACATGGATAAATCGATCATTTGAAGTAAAAACCTGAACTACACACACATTTTTATCCCATAAAACCCAAAGCCCCCCTGAAAAACCTATTGGATCAACCGTAGCATAATCCTCTAAAGCAAAAGATTTTATTATTTTTCTTGCATGAACAAGATTAACCCTCGTCTCCATTAAAAAAACCATGTCAATCTTGTGAGTTCTGACCAGATCGCCTACATGTCTTTGGAGGCGAGGTCTTCCTGCCCCTCTGACATTCCAGCTAAGGATTTTGATTTATAACAGTAGAAAAATTTGGACCATTTTGTCCTTCATTTTGCCATTTTCTTCAGTTTGCTTCTCCATCCTGGTGATTTCAGTCTCTTCTATCGCATCATTAGCGTTTGCATCCTCCTCCTGCAATAAATAAAAGTTGGGTTGGGGTGCAACACGAAGACTTCCCAGGAGGTCACCATGGGCATAATTTTGAAACTGAACCGGTATGACCGGTTTCTGGAAAACCGGTAACCGAAACTGAACCGAAGCCGATCAGTTTACCGGTTGATTGGTTTGGTTAATCATCAGTTCGGTTCATCATTTTTCTGGTTTTTTTAAATTTACAATATATATTATAAAAATATATAAATATATAATAAAAAACTAGATATATATGTATAATATTATATTTTAAATAATAAATAATACATTATATATTATAAATATATTTTTATATATAATGCATATTTATTAATTTATAATATATAGAAAATCTAAAATATATAAAAATATATATAATATATATAAAGATACATAAAATATATAGAAATATATGTATACTGGTTGGTTCGGTTAACCACTGGTTTTCTATATTGGTTAACTGAAACCGAATCAGTACCTTCGGTTTTTTTAAAAGTACTGACCGAACCGATTGGTTCGGTTAACCTGATTTTCGGTTCGGTTTCGGTCAGTTTTTCAGTTTTTCTTGCTCACCCCTAGTGTCCAGGGCTGGACAACTCCTTTATAACTTTTAGAGAGTCCTAAAACATCAGCCCAATTGATGAATAAATAAGTAAAGGCCAACTTTTTGAATGAATTCTGACTTTTTTGGAAATTAGGAGGACCGGCAAATTGGATCATTGGGGGGGGGGAGTCCTTTCTTTTAGCAGGCTAGGCTAGCAGTTAGAAAATTACTGCCCACTAACATAATCGGTTTGGTTCGGGTTACTTTCACTTTAAAAACTCATAAACCAAAACTGAACCAACCAGTTGTGTTATGAATATTTATAAACTGAAACTAATCAATCACAATCAACTTTGAAAACCGACCATATTGGATCAAGTCGGGCTGGTTTGGTCCTTTTTGTTAACATCCCTATTTTCTGGTGATAACTCATTACCAAAGACTGTACTTCTCTTATTTTTCTTTTAATTAATTTTCTATTTACCATGAAAAGGGAAAGATCTCAGGACCATAAAAACAAATCGATTGAGGTTTCTTTGTCTTCAAGGCATGGAATGTAAGTATTTTGTTAGCTGACCACCATTGAGCACTTCCTAAGCATTCGACCCTCTTTGGGAGGATTTTTCTTTTTATCAGTAGTAATCAGACTTTTATTGAGAAAAAAACACATATAAGAGTACCAAACAAATCCCTCATTGGGAGGGATAGCTATTGTAGCAGGAGCTTGAGCTTCCTTCACATGGATTTTTAAATATGGTAGTTGAGAAAGAAACTGAAATGGGCAAGCAACTTGGAGTTGGGGGCGAAAGCTGGTAATTGAAGGAGATTACCAAAGTAGTGATAAGTTGGTTGAATCAGAACAAAAAGACTTCTTGGTACTTCAGAAATGAAACTAGAAAGTTTAGAAGATTTTCAAGGGACATGCTTTTGGTAATTCAATGGGTTCCAAGATAGGCTAATAGTCTAGCAGACCAGCTAGCAAAACAAAGGGTTAACAGGGCACATTGTTTTTGGGCTCAGTTGTAAGATTAAAGATAGGTTTTATAGTTTTTTTTTTTACAGTCTTGATTTTACAGTGGGGGGTAGCTGAGGCTACTCATGATTTGTACATGTTTTAATTTCATTAAGTAATAAAATTTGTTTCTGTTACTGATAAAAAAAGCAAGGGAAGTGTTTCTGGAACTCGATGAAAGAAAAAGAATTAAAGTTTTTGAATTCTGAAGTTTGGTATTTGAGGGAGATTTATGGAGGAAGAAATTCTACTATATAGGAAGAGGATGGGTTTTGGTATGAGAGAGGGGGGGGGGTAGAGTAGCTAGTTTCGATTGTAGGAAGGGTGGTGAGATAAGATGTTATATAAGAGAGGCAGGTTGTATGGTGATGTCTTTGAGCTATTGTACTCAAACTTATCTAAGGATGTTTGATGGTTTTGTGAGAATTTACCCTTCAACTTCACCGTTCATCCAGGAGGGAGGATGTCACTCTGGTTAGGCAGGAGATGTGCTTGGTTGGTGGTTCTTGTTATAGTTGGGCAGGGTATATTCTTATTAGGATGAGTCATTGAGTCTTGATTATGGGTTTGAATATGGTGGGGGTTCTAATCCTTGGCTGACTCTAGGTAATTTCTTGTCACCTATCTATGTATTATTCTTCACTAGTTGAGTGGCATGTGCATTTGCATTTGCAAGAGGAGTGAGGATAGTGGAGACTGGTGAGGATAATAAATGAACTAAATTAATGCTGGTCTGCAAGTGAAGCCAAGGCAACTATCAGCATTATATAGTAAAGATATTTCAATAAGTTTTCCTTTATTATAAAAAGGAGTTAGAGCACCCTTCACATGGATTTGTGAAGATGAATTTTGATGACTGTTCTTTGGGACATCTGGGGATGGGGGATTTGGAAGGCTTATAAATGTTAGAATTTTTTTGGTTTTCTCAGGACCAATAGGCTGTGTATATTCTCTTAGAGCTGACGTTTTAGTCGTATTGGGAATGGACAGTTGAAGGAGACTCCAAAGTAGTGACTAGTTGGACGCTATCTCAAGCTGAAGCTCCATGGTTGTTTTATGATATCATTTGTGAAGTCAGGTCACTAGTGACCTGATTGAATAGCTCATTCAGGTGAGTTCAAGACCAGCTAACTCCTTGGCTGATAGCTTAGGAAGTGGAGCAAATAGGGAGTCCACATATTGGAGGACATTCAATATGGGTTGACTTGTATTGTGCACTCTTCAATTGTGTAATGGTACCATCAGTCTTTGGACTGGATTGCAACTATCCTATTCAATTTTCCATTCAGTAAATTCAGTTGGTCTTGTTGCTGATAGCAGAAAGAACAAGAAAGGAAATCCACATGATGTTTTCTTATCAACTTATAAAGCTGACCATGACTGCTCTAAGATATATAGTACATTTCATGTCTGTGCTTACAGCAGTCAATTGCTTTTCTTTCTATTCAATGAATTCCTTTTGCACTTGCTATCAAATTGGTAACAACTATTTCTTGTTCTGCAGGAGCTGGTTACCTTTAGTTCTCATCCTTTATTCAAATCACCGACTATTTCAAATGCTGGGAAGCATCTCTCTGCAGTTGAGTTTCATTCTGTTCTTGAGAAGGCTGGTAAGTGATTTGTGCTTTATATCTCTTTTCCCTCCTGTTGTTAAGTATTTGTGGTAGCAATACCTGATAAAGGATTTTTTTTTTCAGGTAATACTTTTGAAAATGAGGGCTCTGTACATCAAAAAAAATTTCTTCTGTTGGATGCAAGGAATTTATACGAGACAAGAATTGGGAAATTTCAAACTCCAAATGTGGAAACTCTAGACCCAAAGATCAGACAGTATAGTGATTTACCTGCTTGGATAGATAATCACTCTGAGCATTTGCAAGGCAACTATGTTCTCATGTAAATACTCTCCTATTTTGTATTCATGATAAGCAATTCTTAGATGTTGGTATGATAGAGGTTATTATCTTGTTTTATAGATGTGGTTTTTCTCCTTCCAATTTTATATATGTATTGTAAGAGAGTATTTTATATATCTTTGGTGTACTCTGCTAACAATAGCGTCCAAAATTTACCAGTGAAGGATGTTTGGGGTAAATCGATCCCTCCGAGGATTGGAGCTTTTTGTTGGGAAGCCTTCTTGATAAGATGTAATACCTGTGATTTGCTCCAAAGTAGGGGTGTCAACGGTATTCGAAAATCCGATTTTTAATTCGACATTCGACATAATCGAATCGAATTTGGATAATTCAAATATCTAATCGGTCGAATTTGGATATCCTATATATACCGAATAGTTAATCGGATTCGAATTCGGATATGACCTGATTCGATTTGATAAATATCCGAATTCAATTGATTATTTAATTCTTATATACAATATATAAAATATTTTATATAATTTATATATAATTAAGTTATATAAATAGTTTATATATTTTTTATCAATAAAATATTTATTTTATATATTTATTAATTATCTAAAATAATTAATTAATCGAATTCGAATCGAATCAAATATTCAAATATTTAATTGGATTCAAATTTGGATATTAATTTTCAATATCCGTCGGATATCGAATCGAATTTGGGTATCGGGTTTTCTAATCGGATTCGAATTCAGATATTGCCTGATCCGATTCGAATTCGATCCGTTTACACCCCTACCCAAAGGAAAAGGCCTAGTAGGTGCTTGTCTCCACAATGGTGCATCTTATGCAAGGCTAATGGTGAAAGCCCCTACCACATATTAGTTTCTTGCCCTTTCAGTTCTGATATTTGGGTTTGGTTTATGGATCTATTTGGTTGCAGGTGGTTCCCTCCCCCAAGCATACAAGGTTTGTTTGCTGCTTCTTTCTTTAGGTGGCCGAAGAAAAGAGGTAAAATCATGTGGAGATGTTTGAGAGCTTCCATCTGTTGGACTTTGTTGGAAGAAAGGAATCAAAGAACTTTCTCTGAAAAAGAAAGACAGAAAGAAGAGCTGATTGTGGTCATAACAGTTAGGGTGATGCAATGGCTGAAAACTATGGAGCTATTTGTTGATGTCTCTACGGGTATGCTACTGAACAATTGGAAGGACACTGCCTCCTTTGTGCCGACTCGATCAGTGGTGTGTCCCTTGTTTCCACCTCCACCCTTAGGGTTTTTGAAGTTAAAACTTCGATGGAGTGGTGAAGGCAACCCACTCCCATCAGGTGCTGGAGGTGTAATCAAAGGTGAAAGTGGGAAGGTGGTTGCATTATACTCAGGTCCCATTCGGTTGGGTGACTCTTTGAGCTATGTAAGTGCGATGGTGTGGTAAGCCTACGTACGAGGGTTTCCTTGAAGGACAAATGAAGATCAGATGTAGGAGGTAGGCTAAAGGCTAGGGCAAATGTGAGTGATAAGATGATGATTGTATTGTGAGATGGACCCCTATTTATAGGGAGCGATCCTAAGGTCCCGAAAGGAAGGGCCCAAAAGCGTTTGATTCCCATTAGGAAAGGGAATCTCAGATTTGCTGTTAGTTGTTAGGGAGCACTGCTAGGGTTTTGCCACGTGTCTTATGAGATATCTTTGGGACGAACTTTCCTTTCGTCTGAGGATTCTCATAATCCGTGTGTGCTACTTCCTTTCGTGACCCATTTAACTAACGTGGCACAAGTGATGTCATTATTTAGTGGGCGCGCGTCTTTACTAGGTTTACGGGGTATCCTGTCACGCATGAAATTTTAAGACGCATGTGTAACTGATATCTATTCCCAGTCTACGGTGATTTTGTGAGAGTCGTGATTCTACATGGACTTTGAATTCATCGCAACTACACGCGTGTCTAAAACTCATCACAAATCTGTGCATGTCTAAGGTTCATCACAGATTTGTGCGTGTCTAAAGTTCATCGCAGATTTGTTTCGAGTACGAGTTTGTCGCGGTCGTGCGATGAGTTATATACTCATCATAGACATCCAATGAGTTATGAACTCATCCCAAGCGTCCATGTGGTATAAATTCAGTATTCTCCATGCTCTGATGGTCTGAACGATCACTATGTACCTACAAGCTGAATTGTTTGCTTTCTTAGTAGGGCTAAGGAAAGCAAAGGAGGTGAGCACCCATAAATTGATTATTGAAGGAGACTCACGACTAGTGCTAAATTGGTTACGGAAGGGTAATGGTTTTTGGATCTATGCTAATGAGAGAAGAGAGGTTAAGTGGCTGCTGAGGGGAATGGAAATCCAGGTTCAGTGGGTGAAAAGAATTGCAAATGCCTTTGCTCAAAACAAGGGGTGGGTAGGGGTCAATTGTTTTGGGCAATTCTGTAATCTTCTTGTTATTTGGGGGAGAGTTAAGTCATTTTATCTGTCCCTGAAATTTTGTATGTATTCTTGATTTGTTTTAATAATATTGAATTCTGTTATTGATAAAAAAAGAGTATTTTAAGATGGATTAATGGCAAGATGAGGAATAGCAGAGCTAGTTAGGAGTGTATTTGAGGGAACTTAGGGGTAACACTGAATGGTGATGTAAGGTAAAGAGGGGAAACCCATTTAGATGTTCTGGCCATGTGAGCAAAGACCAGCACATTCACTGGGAAGATGGTTTTATGCAATTTTAGAGTTTTAATAGAACAATGTGAAGGCCAAGAGGGAACAAAGAAAAGGGGCAACAATATGGACAAGAGCGGCAACAATATGGAAATTTGGGAAGAAAGGAACACAAGAATATTTTTGGAAAAGGAGAGAAGTGAGGAAGGTATAATTGAAACAATAATTATTAGTGGTACATTGGTTGAAATTTTTGGAAGCTTTCTCAAATTCTCAATGGATATACTTAGAAAGTGGAAGGAAGTGGCTGATTCACGTTCAAATAAGACTGTCTTCAATCATCAATGGTCTCCACTGGAAAGAGGGTTCATCAAACTAAACTTTGATGGTACATGGGAAACCCAGGAATGTCAGGTATTAGAAAAGTATTTAGAGATGAGGAGGGAAGATAATTGCTCGATTAGAAAACTGAGGGTTTCTCAAAACTGGTTGTGAGTTGGATACAATATGAGGAGATGAAGTTTTGGACCTATAACAATGAAAAGAAGTCCAAATGGCTAACTAGAGACATGGAAGTAATTGTTTGTTGGATCAAGCAAAGTGCCGATTCTTTAGATGATGCATTAGCCAAACAAGGGTTGGGAGAGTCTCTTTTTTTGACTAGTCATTCTTTAGAGGAAAATGTGGTCTTAGAGTGAGTGAAATGGAGGAATGTCTTGTAAAGAGAGTGAGAGAACAAGAGAAGAGAGAAGAGTGGAGAGTGATTACTTGACAATGCATGTCCTTGACTATTTATTTTCTTCCTAAAATAACCCTTCCTTGGACAAACTGAATATTTCTACACTCCCTCAAGCAAGCACCAGTTAGCTTGCCTAGGAAGTAGGAAGATATAATATAACCTCGGTAGCAATACTCCGGTGCTTCTCTCAAACAAGGCAGCTTGGAGATTCTATCATCATTGCAGCTAGCTCTTACACAATAGTCACAAGGACCAAATTAACTTGACTACACTTGTCGCATGGCCATTTTTTTTGATTTTAATGAATTTTTATTTTTATCATAGAAAACCCTTGTGGTTTCACCTATTTTTTCTTTTAAAAAATATTAGGAAAAAAGAGGAATGCATGTAAACAAATTGATGCAACTCTTTCATTTCCTCCCTAGATACATGGTGCAGGTGGGACCCATTAAAAGACACACCAAAGGATAAAGTTGGACATACCTTTTCATGGTTCCAATAATCTTTAAGGCACTATGAAACATAGTTGTCTAGGTGTCTATGTGATTATAGGCAACTATTGAACACCTAGTTGCCTAGGCAATGGAATTTTGCAAAGAAAAAACTAAATTCTAGGTTAGCTCCCTAATTTTACATACCAATCATCATGGATATTGATTGAAAAAATAGCAATTTGGGCACCTGTTTTAAATGGTTTGTTCTCTTTTTCTTCCTTTTTCTATGCCCTTGTCCAACCCTTTGTTAATAGTTCTTTTCCTCCCCTTTTGATGCGGAGTCCAATTCGACCATCTGGCTTAGAGTAATCCGGATCAAGATCAGTTTGAAGTGGTCCGACTGGATTGGCCAAAAATGAATTTTCATACCCTCTACTCTGAATCGTGAGAGGAGTTGTATCGAGCTCTGTTGAAGGAACCTTCGAGTGCCTAAAGTTCTTAAACAAATGTTTAGTTGGTCGTTTCGTCAGTTCTGAACCAGATGTTGAAGTAGTTTGGAAGTGGGCAGTGGCTGAATGGAAACCAAGTAGACACTTCTAGGTGAGAAGTCTTGGCGCAAGATTCTTTTTTTTTCTCTTTCAATAGTGAAGAAGAAGCCTCAGATATTCTTGAGCGCGAACAAGATTAGTGTTGGAGTCCAGAGTTAAGACTGGGGAGGTGGAATCCTCTTGTCAGTGTGCTGAGAAATGTGGGGTCTTCAAGCTTCATTTGGATTAATGTGTTTGGTATTCCCCTTAATGCTTGGAGCTTCCTTACTTTCAGGAAGATTGGGGACGCTTGTGGGATTTTCAGGTTCATTGACTCAAGAACCTTGGATTGGAAGAATTTAGTAAGTGCACGTATCTTAATTGAGGTGGAGGAAATTCATTTGGTTCCAACATCCCTTCTATTCCATTTTGGCGGGTAACTTTTCGATTTAAGAGTGGTGGCGGAAGGGATACAAAGGGCCAAAGAACTGAACATTAAAAAGCTGATTATAGAAGGTGATTCTGAAATTGTGGTGAATTAGCTAACAAAGGACGGTTCTATGCTCTGGAGATACAACAATGGAAAGAGGAAATTCAAGTGGCTCACCAAGGACATGGAAATACATTGTACATGGATAAAGAGAATTGCAAATGCATTGRCAGRTGGTTTAGCTAA